CTATATTCTATACTCTATATACTCTATATACTCTATATACATATATATATATACATATATGTATGTACTACTATATATATACTCTATACTCTCTATACTCTATACCATACTCTATATACTCTATAAGCAAATTGAGGTGGCATTTTCTCGAAGTCTGAAAAAACGTTGCAACAGTTTCGATCTCAGGCGGCTCTTTCCAGTGCAAATACAGTCTCCGGGATAACAGACAGTCCGGAGGTTGGTATCCAGAAAAGGGCTACGTGCAGGTCCCTAATTACGCCTACTTGGTGAGTTTCGATAAAAATGGAGGGCATTGTGTAGCACGGCTACTCAGGGACCGGTTACATCATCTTGCAGTGTAACAGTAATGATAATCCTCGTTTGGGTGTAACAATCTTTCGGTGCCTAACTGCAATACCACTCTGGAAGCACGAGGAATGAGATACAAACAGGGTGTCCAAGCCTAGACACGGGTAGTCGAGATGTAAGGGTCAGGTTCGAATAGCGGACCTTCCAGTCAATAACTTCGGGCACCAACCAACGAGCCATCCCGAGCTCCGAGTATATCAGAGAGAGAGAGAGAGATGTACGTGGTAAAGAGGCGTCTGCAGGTTTGGTCATCGGATGCAAACAGGTTAAGTATGGAGGGATACTGAATAATAACACGGGAGATGAGTGACTACCATACACCAGAAAAAAGATCTAACTAAAACAGTAACGAGCTCCGAATCAGAGAGAGAGAGAGAGATGTACGTGGTAAAGAGGCGTCTGCAGGTTTGGTCATCGGATGCAAACAGGTTAAGTATGGAGGGATACTGAATAATAACACGGGAGATGAGTGACTACCATACACCAGAAAAAAGATCTAACTAAAACAGTAAAACCCACCAATGAACCTCTTCCGTAATAGGCGGAAGTGAGAGTTGATTGCCGACAAGCGCCTTGGTATTTCTCCACAAAATCTGACTCAACATCAAAGCCAACATAGTGGATGACACAGCTGAAGGTGAGGGATCTGGCACACTGTCGACCTTGGGCATGGTGGCTTGCCATGATGGAGCAGTGGATGACAGAAACGGTTGATACAACAGACTATGCCAATAGTGCGAGATGGAAAACGGCTCAAACCGAAGGAAGGAGAATAACCCGTACAGATCTGAGAAGAGAAAAATACATGATATGACTAACATTATGGTGGTTATACGGCGAATTAATTCAATACGTTTAATAATTAGGGTTGGGTGGTGTATGCATAGGTTCGAAGCTCACCATCGATGCTTTTCTCGGCTGGAGTTCCGGTGATACACCATCGATGCACAGCATCAATCCGTGACATCATGCGGGCAGTTTTCGATGTGACACGTTCAACCATTTGCGCTTCGTCGAGACAGACCTGGAGGATGAAAATGGACAAAACTGCTGTTGGCTCAACTGAGAATGATTTAAATCCATAAATGAAGAGCTAGCCTGCTCAAAAACGCACCATACTACCTACATACTAAAACTCTTTATTTAAACTAACACCAGACAAAGAACACTGGACATTTTTGTACTACCGTTAAAGGTGAGCAAACGACGTTAAAGCAGTTTCAGGTAAAATATGCAAATACTTAGAAGACAAAACAGTTATTATGCCGGGGTTTGCAATCGCACATTCGGTTCACGAAGCTCCTTGGAAATAATTCGAAATGCAAGTAAACGGAACGTTCAAAGCCTTAGAACAGTAAAGCACTAAACGTCATTGTGGATGCCACTCAGGAAGATTCAGGAATAGTAAGAGGACGCACGGGTGGTACAGTCAGTGTGAGCACTCCATGACTTACAAACCCCTCCCCCACTTTAGCTGGACAGGATACCATGTTCACAACACATTTTAAAGCGTTGTGCTACCCATCAGATATGAGAACCAGGTTCACAGATCAAGGAAAATTCAGCGGGTAAACGTGACAAACCTTAACATCCACAGGGGGCGAGATGGCCCAAGTGGTTAGAGCGCGAATTTACTGACCGGAAGGTCCGACGTTCGAATCCGACCTCCGCCACTCGACTTCCCCTGTCTAGGCTTGGGCGACCTGGCAGTATCCCAGCCCTCGTGCTTCCTTCGGATGGCATGGCAGCTAGGCACCGGAAGGGTGCTATAGCTGAACGCTTTTTTTAACGTCCACAGAGCCCCATCCATATATGGTGGGAGCAGCGTGCCAGCAAAGCCCATATTTCGTGTTATTTCTTCTAGACAAGACACATTCCAGACTTTATAGCATTCAAAAACCTCAGACGCCTTAAAATACGTTGGTATCACATCTACCTGTATCTGGATGTAGAAATGGGCTCGCGAGTTGGGCTTAGCAAAGATAAGAACTCAGAGGAAATGAGAACGTCTTGTTTGAGGGTCTCTCAAATAGTAATCTTACTTAGGGAATCATTTAGATCCATAGCCCTTTTGGTGTATAGCTGGCATGCTAGTGACCTCCCAATCTGAGGCTTAATCACTGAGTTACCTCAATAGGTATCCGAACTTATTTCGGCAAACTTAGTCTCCCCTACTTGAAAGTTTACAAGTGTACTTCGCCAATGGGTACAAGCATATGGGTTGTCTAGCATCTGCTTGCTGATTGTGACTATCCCACTGAAGGCCTACGTTCAAATTACACAAAGTGAAGGGGCTGAGATACGAAGCCATTGATAAAAAAAATCACTTTGGGCTCTGCATCTTCGATGCTAACTGACGAAAAGTCGGAACTAAAAAAGGCAAGAGGGGTCTGAGAATATCGCTGCAGAAATATGGAGGGGGTGAATAATTTAGGTCTCCTAGGTGGGGTTTAAATCATTAGATCTCCACTGTGGGATGACAAACTGAGCAAGCATAAAAGAGCTTTTTTACGTGATACACTTACCTTCCTGGTTACTCCGATCAATATCGTTTAAGCCAATTTCATACCGCAAGACATTATGATCCTCTAGAAGAAATTCTCGCTTGAAACGATCTGATCTTAGAATGATGATGGATGGAAAATAATACCAGAATAGAAAAATGCTCAATTTTTTACAACTGTCTGAAAAAGAGCTCCAAGAGGAGTCGATACTCCGCAAAAAAAGCCGTTGCAATTCTTCGATTAATTGTCGAATTGGCTCGACGGTCCGTGCCCGAACAGACTGCTCAAAAAAGCCTTGCAATTCTTCGATTAATTGTCGAATTGGCTCGACGGTCCGTGCCCGAACAGACTGCTCGGCTATTTTGCCGAATATTCCAGTAGTAGATAGGAAGGGGGTATTTTTATGTAATATCCTGGTACAGACTCTGTATGGGGGCTGGCACGCACAACTCATGTACATTCCAGCAGCAAGCACCAATGGCTGGCGTCCGGTACGGACGGCTGAGCTACTGAGAAATTACACGTGGTCAGCACCGGCGACCTGGGCACAATTGAGCGTGTCATCGAAACCTCAAGAAATCGACTGATAACCAACACACAGAGATCTAACGATAAACGACAACAAGCCTTAGTATACATTCATCGCAGTGGAAGTAGCTCGGTCACGTGTTAGACATGCAGATTCATCAGCCACCTTTTACGACTGCTGTTTTCGATGCCTCAGTGTAAATGGAGCGGGATGGAATGATGAAGAAGAGGAAGAAGCTGGACTGTGGTGAGTAGGTGGTGTTGTTCCACAGACGTTACATTCGACGGTGGCACAGTACTCTTGCTCTGAGAAAATCCCTTCGACAGAGAAGATGACGATCAACAGTCGCAGCCCCGCTATGTATTGAGCTGTTGTGCCTTGTTACAACCAACTCTTCAACTGTAACACCCTCGATCGGGATGTCAACCGTGGATACTCGACCCAAAAATGCTGTGTATGTATCCCAGGCTACATTATCGGCTAAGTCAAGTCCTGTCAAGACGAATCCAGCAATGTGGCAGTTTGATGCATTCGACGAGCTTACTTAAAGACCAGGATGAAGAACACAAGCAGTCCAACTGTGAGGTACCTCCTTTGATTCTGAGGTCACTGTTTCCCCGAACAAGCCTGTGAAGGCTTGAATTTGCTTCCTCTAGAGGGCTCTCGTCGGGAAGCGAAGTAATGCACTTTCGAAGGAGCGGAAATACATTACTTTAAAAAATAAGCGTGACTGAATAACGGGGGACCCAGTGACCTACTTAGCCTACGATTTGCATGTGCAACCAAATGGAGGAAGAGTATTCTACAGGAAGTGGAAATAAAATAAAACGGTCGAAAAAATGGAACCCATCGATCGGCCGAATAAAGCTACCAATAAATGCGGTCCTCAGATAGTGATTAGGATGACGACCCAAGTTTTATACAGATCGAACTTACTCTCCACCAACGGACACATGTCAAGGGGCTTGGGCGACATAGATATCTCTGGGCTAAGCGTAGCCGTGGACGGTCGCCCAGGCCCGCTTGGCGTTCGGCGACAACTTCAGCCCAGTCGAGCTCACGCTGAACCACAGAATACGAGGTAAGAACAATGTCTGCGCACGCTAACTGTCCAGGCTGAACAAATCCGGGAAGCAGCTCATCTACCTCCGGCTCTCCATTAGCGGTACTTTTTGAAGACCGGGCAGTAACTCGAGTTCGAGGCGCATAAGGGTTTGTCCTTGACTGAGCAAGGGTTCCAGTGTTCATCCGATTGCCAAGCTCCACTGGAGTTACTGGGGCTTCCATGCCTGCATAAAGCTAAAAAACGCACAGGTTAAAGTGAAACAAGAGTAACTGGGAGAGAGAGAGAGAGAGAGAGGAGAGAGCAGACAAAAGGAATGGGACGACTGAACCCTAAAAACGTTACTAATGCATTTCTGGAGGGTCAAAATGATGAGATGGATAACCAAAGCGATACACAAAAAATCAAAATTAAATGACGGAAGCAAAGACAGTAAATTAGGAGATCAACTAACAGGAAGGCAATAATCCGGTGCAGATCAGTAAGCTTCCAGATACCTATCTGGAGATGATTGCGCCAGGCTACTACGTTGGTGAGTGTCCCCAGCTGTGGATGGGGGTCATCACCCAGCCCATCGATCAGTGGTCAGTAGCAACCCTGTTCGACTTTATCAGAAATATCAACTAGTAGATGTTCGAACTTACTGACCGAGAGGTCCATGCTTTAAACTCACCTTCTGCATCTCGACTGCTCCTATCTAGGTTTCGGCAGCCTGGCCTCATGCTTCCTTCGGGTAACATGACAGCTACTCACCGAAAGGGTGTTACGGCTGAATGATTACGAATATGAAGTGTCGACACAAGGAATGCCAGAAATCGGCATGTACGGTAAAGTATGATCTTACTGTTCCGATCAATCGTCTACAGAACTTTCATATATAGACTTACCAACACATCAAGTGTTTTGAAAGCAAGATGGGTTTGTAATTCTTCTTTCCATTGCTGCCATATATGGTCGGGAGCAACTATCAGAGTAGATTTGGATTCAATGCGAATCTGAAAAATAAAGGGCTAGGCAAGTGAGATGAAAGTTTAGAATGGTGATAGTGGTTCTAACTAAATAAGAGCGGTAACATGATACTCACCGAAAGGGTGTTACGGCTGAATGATTACGAATATGAAGTGTCGACACAAGGAATGCCAGAAATCGGCATGTACGGTAAAGTATGATCTTACTGTTCCGACCAATCGTCTACAGAACTTTCATATATAGACTTACCAACACATCAAGTGTTTTGAAAGCAAGATGGGTTTGTAATTCTTCTTTCCATTGCTGCCATATATGGTCGGGAGCAACTATCAGAGTAGATTTGGATTCAATGCGAATCTGAAAAATAAAGGGCTAGGCAAGTGAGATGAAAGTTTAGAATGGTGATAGTGGTTCTAACTAAATAAGAGCTTGACGCAGATGTTCAGCACAAAATTGGGGTGAAATCCAGTACTGACGAAAATGTTCGCTTGATCGTGAACGAACCGGTTTTGCTAAACAGCCAAACGAAGTCAGGAGCGCCCAGAAATAACCGTCAAAAACAGAAGAAACGGATAATACCACGAGAATCTTGAATCACGCTTATCCACAGGTAATGACTATGTGGCATCACACTTCCAAACACCACAGAACTACAGTGCACGTTCCACGAACCAGTAAAACATAATCTCAGCTGAGTTGGCTTTCGAGGGAGTCAGTTACAAAGAAAAACAGTACTAAAGAATATCCACCCAAATGCGCACAACTTTATGCGGATAATGAAACTCAAATTTTTGACGAAAATGAAAACCATAAATGATCTCTCCCGATGCTTCTATGATCACCACCCATTTTTGTCTCAGTCTGGTGTTCTGAATACTTAAATAGCACGCACGAAACGCCTGACTTGCATTTTATCTCATTATTCCAGCAAGACGTGGATTGGCAGTTACAATGCCTCCAAGATCGATGCGAATCAAAATGCCCTCGGTCCCATGGGTTTTTGACCTAATCGACAGCGAAATCAGTAACCCAGACTCGGTCCCCAATGTCTTCGTGTTTTTCCATGCTCGAATAATGCAAATAAATCGCCAAGATGTACCTCGATAGTACGCAACCCACCTGATCGTCAGTCCCACTGAAGGTTGAAAACTTGTTCCAGGGTGAACTTCGGAGATCCTTAAATTTTAGAACTTGAGAGAGAGTTTGAGTCTTTAAACCCTCAACCATTTTTCGGAAAGCACATGGTGGACTGTGTCAAAAAAAAGTCGTTCAGCTGTAACACCCTTTCCGTCCCTAGCTGCCATACTAGCTGAAGGAAGCGCGAGAGGCTGGAATACTGCCAGCTTGCCAAAGCCTAGACAGAGGAAATCGAGAGACAGAGGTCGGGTTCGAACCACGAACCTTCCGGTCAGTAAATTCGCGCTCTAACCAGCTAAGCCATCTCACTCCGCTGGACAGTGTAGCAACCTTTGAACCGTGTGGCGTTTTACCGACAATCGCTGTTCAACTTGCGTTTGCATTTTTTTGAAATAAGAACGGTTTACAGTACCATACACGCATTCTTGTCCTAATATTCCATTATCCCATAGGCGCGTCCTACCTTGCAGCAGTGGTACGTGTTTTATACAGTGAGTTCTGCTGTACGTGTCGCTGCGCTAACTCTAACTCGCATAAAAACTTTTTCCGCGCTTCAGCTTGTGATATTCGCTCATGCCAAGCTTATGTCAGAAATTCGTTCGTAAGCTGACAAGTTTCCATGTTATTCGCACACTGATGCCTGAAGCGCGAATTCCATTCATACACAAGTTCCCAAAGCGATGCAACACATCTACTTCTAGCCGATACTGAAGATAGTTTAACGTTGACTATGATGCATGGTAAAACTTAATAAGTTCTTATGAGTGCGAAACTGGTACTTATTTGTCTTGTTTCCCATCGACTTTGTAAACATTGTTGAAGAAATGTCTTGTCATTCCGAAGACCTGCTGTAACGGTGATTCTTGGCCTTGGTGACGTGCGATATGATCTAGATTGGAAATGTTATACACATAGACGCTAGAACATCACAGACACGTTAATTTTTCAGTCACCCAACAAGGACTACACAAATTAATCTGCAATATAAAAAACAGAGCTTGCATCTGCATAAGCGAAACATGAACATGTTCTGCATACGCACTTTCACTGATTATACGTAATTTATTTGACTAGAAGAGCGTTCTCGCGCTTTTTCGACAATGTTGTATCCCACTTTTCGGCGAGCTCTCATTACCTTAGTCACTCCACAATATTCTGCCTCCTTCCAAATAATCGGATCACGCTTTTTCACTAATCTTAATGACGTGCGTTTTGCAGCTGATGAAATAGAACATCCATTGCTCTAGAAAGAGGTCCAGCACAACTTAATTAGTGAACCACGGAACAGGCTTTAGCGATACACCCCACAACACGAACGATTGAAGGAAATCGATTTTCATCAACCTAGCCAAGTGGTACTTCACAGGAAATACCCACATGACTTTGATTTATCATGGTTAGACAGGAATCAACTAATACAAATGTAGCGTCGACGCCCCTTGATTTCGGAAATGCAGTATAAACTGTTGTGGAGAAGCAGGATGAAGTGGCTGGACTTTTCGGGTTACCGCTCATAAGGGTAACTGCAGGCCTAGGAGATAACACACAGTGATGGATTGAATCTCTGGAGTCTAATCTCTGGAGTCGAAATAGCAACGGAGTATCAGATGCATAAGTAAGAAACCACGTTCATAAGTCAAGAACTTTTATGAGGTAACGATGGACTTTTCAGAATTCTAGGTTGATTCGAAAAAAATATTCTAAGCACTCATGCACACGACGAAAACTGCGTTAGAGATGGCTCTAATGGAAATTTCAGTTCCATGAGTGCTGCCCATTTAAAGTAAACTTCATGTGTGTCGGACAACTTAGTAGGATTTCGTTTCACTTGATAATTTAGGGAAGCGCTGCCCAAGAACAGGTGGACTGTTATCAAAAACAATTAACTATTTCAAAATGTACAGAATGCAAGCTGTGTACGAGGGTGATTATGATTAGGAGTTAGATTGAACTTTCAAAATGAATTTCTTCCGCAAACCAGTAAGTGCCAGTTAACAGCCCCAGAAAGAAGACGACCACGGAAAGATGATGTAGTCAGTCTCCCCCAATTTGTAGCCGTCTCTGTGGGAATAGGCTACGCTGCGCCGGGAAGAAAGCATTGTGGCGCAGCCTCCAAGGGGCCTTCTTGGACTAGTCCAGCTCAAGAGAATTAGGATGCTGAAGCGAAAGCTCATTCAACAACTGGAACCCTCAGTAACGTCTCCATGGTGAAGAAGGCCTCTACAACTGCGCTAAATCAGGAAAACATAGTCAAATTCAACGTAGTGGTTGGCGATTTCTGTGCCTGTGTGTGGGAGCAGAGGATCGTTATGTGTTCACCTTCAGGCCAGATTGAATAACTCTGATACTCTTAGAGCTGTCGTTAACGAATTCGACGTTTTCGGCTCTTATGGGACAGAAAGCCTTTCAGTAAGCTAAAACGAATCCCACAGGGATAGGTGCTAAATGAGACAGGGGCACTGAGAAACATCGCTCAATTTTGTTCGTGTTAAAAAAATCGGTATCATGTGTGGCTCTTGAATGCCGCCCCCCCCCCCAAGGATTATAACAAATATCGACAGAAAAAGCTGTTACCAGCATCCGAACTTGCCTGAGCCCAACACTGTGGACAGACGTAGTCGTGTTGGATGGGAAGTAGTTGTCGATATTTGGAGGGTTCATACTGAACACAAGCTGCGTGCTGAGATGGCCCATCACAGACAGAGCATTGGACCAGGTCGAAATCCTGAGTTTCTTCCACATTGCCACACGAACATAAGACGTGCTCGGAACCGTTGGCAAATAACGGCGGCGTGGGTGCATCGCACTGGTTTCTCGGTAGACCTTCGAGAGATAGCAGCTGACCACCACGAGACTCCCACTCGCGCCAAGGATTTAGCAGAATGAGGGCGATGACTTCCAATGTTTTTCCCAAACCCATTTCGTCAGCCAAAATGCCACCTGGACAAGGATCTTCCAAAGGTGGCAAGTGCTCCATGAAACTGAAGGAAGAAGAAAGGTATGTTGCGAATCAGCAGCTGATTTCCACAAACGGTATTAGCGTCTACAACATTAACCGTGGTCACTGGGAAAATACTGTTAAAGTAGAGTACAGGAGATTTCAAACACTTTATACTGAAAAAGAGCGAGTGGTAGGGAAACATCAGTCTATAAATTCCAATACCCTAGACAAACTTAACAGCAAGATCATTCTAATAGTATGGCAAAGTTTTTGCAAGGCAATATTTACGAAATCCAGTTTGCTTAATATGGGTGTGGAGACGATGAATAGTCAAATTTGCATGTAGTTCCGCTATCTTTCGTTCGTATCGGCGTCTTAATCACTGGAGTAAAGAGTGAAAAAGACCGGTCAATTCAAATAATAAGATGTTCAGAAACACATGAATTTTTCTGCCGACAGTCATCTAAAGCAAGTAGATAGTTCATACCACTACATTGTTCGATCTCAAATCAAGATTGTTAGAACGGAGACAAGTGTGTTGCCCCCAAATGGCACGAAGTATCGTCCTAACCTAGACAAACACGCTAGAGCAGTTCATCACCCTGTTCGCTGGATGGTTCACCTAATTTTCGAATGAACAGAAGAAATGATAAAAGGCGAACTTACGTGCCGGTGAGTATAGAAAAATAGATAACTTTCTGCGCAACGGGCAGTTGAAGTGAAAGAAACATTTTGTCGTACATACAATTCTTGTCTATAGTGAGGTGATGTCGCTCGCGATGCAACATCCATTTGACTGCATCTACCTGATATGGACGTAGCATCGTGTTCAACTCCCTGCACTGAATATGGATATCTGGAGCATCCCACTTGGTGCGTGCTGCCTCGTTTTGAGCTTGCGCGTAGTCGTACAAGAGTTTTATGAGTGCAACGAACTCCTCCTGCGTTTCCGAGTGCCTGTTGAAGACAAATGACCGGGACAATGGTAAAGAACTTGGGGCTCGATCAAGCAAGTACAGTGTTACAAAGTCATGGATCTTCTCATACTGCTGTCGGGAAACAGGGTGACTGGGTAGATCCCCAGAAGAACTGATACTTCTGGATCGTACACAGATATCCAAATGTAGTAAGGATCCGGCAGTCCGGAAGTAAACTTCTAGTAGGTTGGATGATGCTGCAAACAGAAGGGAAGCCATTGCAGAGGTAATGCCTGTGACCACGTACTCCTGAATGAATTCAGTACCATGACAAAATAGAAGAAAGGAGGTCTGGTTGAAGAAAAGCACCACTTTCTGGCATGCAGTAACGGCTTTACTGAGAGTTAGCTCAACGGGAAAGCTGACTGTCTGAAGTAAGTATTCCTCAGGTGTTGGGCCGTTAAGGAGAGTGAAGGAATGTGGATAGCTAGAGGCAAGATTCTTCTCTTCCATACCAAACTGTTTATTCCACTTTCGTTTACCGATGACCGGATGATGGTTCTCAGCATGAGAAAACTCGAAACCATAATGGTAGCAGTAGGACTGACGCTGCCGAACTTTGAGGGGAAGAAAATTAGGCGTCTGTTTCGAACGCATTGATTCATTAACGTGTAAATAGGTCAGGATTGAAAATTAAATTGGTTGTGGCATCACAGCTGGACTGAATGAATCTGAAAACAAAAAGCAAAGGAGGATAAAAAAAAGCCCAAGCGCCCATCGTTACCAGACTTATATTCTTATTTTTCCAGGACTACAATCAGATTAAACGATAAAACCCCACACCGTAAACATCGTGTAGCTCAAATATCATCAGCACAAAGTTTATTTTGCGGTCGATAGCACAAACACTATAGGTTTTTCGTCTAAATAACGTCTAATCCCTTCCAGGCCACCGTAGTCGTAGGTTTTAAAGCGAGTAATTTAAGCACGTGAAGTTTCATATTAACTCCCGGTAGAATGGAAGTTTCCGTCACGAAGAGACTGGACCTTACCGTGGTGTGACGGTTTGCGCACCTCAGCGATCCATTGAGCTATACTGGAGAGTGTCCCGCGACACTCACAGAGTCTCTCACACCAGGTT